CTGTTCGGAGGAGGAGTACCCTAGTCAGACGTCTATCTAATTGTGTTAATGGTTATATGCAGTGGTATACAAGTATCACACACTTGTATATCCAAAACCCCATACATGGGTTTGGTTTTGACCCACGTACACAGGATAGTCGATATGATGTGCAGGATGCTGAGGTACGACAATATTGCACACAAATTGCTTACATTTTTTTAAAGACGTTTAGCTAATTATAATTGTATTTGTACTTAATAAAGCGTATTGATCACACGCACTACGGATTGCACATCCTATCATCGAGGCGGGCCATGATGCTAGTGTTCATGACCCAGATAGGTTATATGAGGCCATTGAGAGGATGACACGTGTTCCACAAGGTCAACAAATCGACGAGGCTGGATCTAGTTCTGTTCCATTTAGAACATACAATTATAGGAGATGAGTAGATGATAGGTAGTAGGTTTTATGGTAATATTGTTTGGTTATTTTTGTAATGGAAGAGAAGTACTATTTTGATGTCTTTGTTATTTTGTAATTAACAAGAAGTATTGAACCAAATTATTTTGTAATGAATATTTGGCAATGAAAAAAAAGTATTATGCCAATGCGTTTGATACACCACAATGAACAAGCAGTACCATGTGCATTACATTAACTCAAAATGCTAATCGACAAAAAAATGTATCGGTAACTATTTGAATTGCATAACCACAACTCAACTCACATACATCATTACTCATCAAGGTTAATACAATCAAATGTCTCGCTAGTAGCTACCCCTGAATGAACAACTTTTTTAAAATGCTCAATTCGGCGACTATATGTAGTACCCTATCCAGCCACACAAGAATGAGGAAACTTGCACCAATTGGTAGCTATCAGTGGAATTGGATGACCCGATAACATGAACACCTACATTGATAAAGCTTTAAGTATGAGATCGATGCAGTACAAAATGATAAATGTATTACACAAATCATAATGCTATACCTGGACAAAATGATTTCCATTAATAAACCCAACAGCAATCTCACGCTGTTGAACTTGTGATATTGGCACTGATCGTAGGGGGAGGAATGTAAGGCATTGTTGTGCAGATAAATGGTGCAATACCACATTATAACATGATGCAATAAGATGACCCATGTCAGGCATAGTCATCCAACGGTGATACCCTGGATTGGGCTCAAAGTATGATAGAATATGGGTCAGCTCTTCAATCCTATCATATGAACCATATAGATGACTGTAATGGTCTCTGTGTGTATGCAATTCTTGTAAGAGATCATGCTTGATTTGACCCCATTTAGCCTCTGTAAGCCCCATTAAGCCAGCAATGGCCCTAAAACCACAATTGCCATCGACATCTACATCTTTGATAAGACGTATGAATGGCTTCAATCCAACTGGGAGGGGGATCAACATATGAATAAGTCGTAGCTGTATGATACCTATTCAACAGGGAAGACATCAACACATGAACAATAAAACACGTAATTTATCATCAACGAAAATGTAAGTAAAAAATGATTACATGTACTTTCTCTTTGGCAGGCCGTTTTTTATGTACTTTGACAAAATCCTGTGTGGGGATTTGGGTGCCCATAGGTGAGTGGCTATCATGTCCAGACTGAACCAACTCAAATGCACATGGGTCTCGACGCGTAGATACATCTATCTTTTTATGTCCCTTACCTCAAGGGTTGGACTTCACATCTGGCTCAATGAGAAAAGTACTTTGCAGATTTGCAATCTCTCCTAACTTATGCAGAATTTCCAACTTCATGGTATAATCAGATGCATTGAATTGCTTAAGTATGAGATCAAACTTTGGTTCATAACTTAATTCCACTTTATTATTCTTCAACTTTTGTACTATCTCAAGAGTCCTCCAGTGCAGGTTAATGCTATCAAGTGGTATTGAACGACCCTATCAGATGTAATTCGCAATCTCATGGGCACAAGGTAACTTGTGTGTTCGTCGAACAACACATCCACATACTGAAGCATCAATGCCAACATCATCCTCTCGTTTACTCTTCGCTAAGACATGATCTAATGTAGTAATAGAGATATTGCCTCGAAGCTCTCTAAAATGGGATGGATTGAACTGGTGTTGTATAACGGTTAAACTCTTCTCAAACGATGCCTTAATATCAACGTGTTGTAACTCAAGCAAACTATGGATCTTGGTCCAAGAATACTCAAAATTGATTTGATTAGAACCAAGTTGCTGTTTACAGTTTGCATGTGCGCTTTCAGCCTTGTGTACAATGGAAATAATTAACATAATTAAGTTTAAATAATCAAAATCATAATGATCAATAGTGTAAGATAGACAAATATATATTACCTGTTGGTTGTAACATTCTCAAAGTGCATACAACTATCTGTCCATACGGTAACAAACTTATCCTTATATGGAAATAACCAACTTTGTGACACATATTACACTGCCTCAGGATATGTATCAAAATCCGCAAGTAGCATAGCAAGGCGTTCATTATATTCAAGCTTAGTCGAAGAGAGTACTAAGAAATTCAATGAGGAGATAAACTTGTCATATTTCTCCTTACTATCAAACATTTTCTTGCATTTCACCAGTACATTTATACTAATATGCCATCAGCATAATAAATGTCGATATGTAGAAAATACCCTGTCAATAGTATTCATCAAAGCAAGCTCCATGTCCGTGACAATCACCTCAGGAATATCAATGTCATCGAAGAGACTATGCAATGTAGTTAACACCCAAACGTAGTTATCAATCCGCTCAAATTGGAGATATGCAAAAGGCTACGGAGAATGACGTATTAGTAGATGTTACACCAACTATCTCAAGAAGATGAAGACGATATTGATTTGTCTTATATGTGCAGTCCATACTCAACACCTTTGGAAATGAATGGAGCAAATCTAAACTGACAGGATGCGCCCAAAACAAGTCTGTGACAGTCATTGTGTTGTTGTCACACCTATGTCACTCAATGTAATTATGCTTTTCTAATTCACCCAACAACTATTGCATCTGTGATCTCCTAGCTTTCTCAATAGCATTATTCCTATGACATACATTGTAAATGGTTTTCATAGTGGTTACATTCAAATCATCCTTTTGTTTCAAGGTAACCAAAATCTCTTTTGGTCTGACCATGCTTTTGGACATATCCACTAAACTGTTAGGATGTGCCCAAAACAAGTCAGCGACAGTCATCGTCTTGTTGTCACACCTATGATGCTCAATGTAATTATGCTTTTCTAATTCACCCAACAACTGTTACATCTATGATCTCCCAACTTTCTCAATAACATTATTCTTATGACGTATATTGTAAATGATTTTCATAGTGGTTACATTCAAATCATCATTTTGTTTCAGGGTAATCAAAATCTCTTTTGGTCTGACCATGCTTTTGGACATATCCACTAATAATGATGTTTTCTCCTCAGATAATCTCCCTGCAAATGAGTGTCCTTCAAAATGTTTAGCAGGAGCATGGTTATGCATTCCACATGCTACATCTAGCATCTAATAATCATCAGCCATCAACTTACGAGCCCTCAACTCAAAGGGACACCTACATTTCTTTATACCTATTATCTTCACAATTTTTTTGTTTGAATCATCTCCTTTAAATTTCTTATGAGCTCTGTATTAACCACTTCTCTTACAGGCAAAATATATCTTTGGTGTCCTATGACCACCACTATAGTCCGATGTCTTGATGACAATCACAAAATCATTTTTCCTTCCAATGTCTCGTACCCAACTCAGCAATTCTCCTTTGCTCTTGAAAACCTACATGTCAAATTCACCAAAGTCATTAAATATGCGGGGAAAAAAAAATACTAATTTTCGACCTCATTAGTAATAAATTGACTTGTGTAGTCAACAAGACACTCGGATCCAATATTATTGTATTCCGTAGATGCACATTTCTGGAAAAAGCACAAAAAAAAATGTTATATGTATTCGGCAGTACAGAGTTGAACGGAACGAAACGAAACCGTTTGATTTTTTATAGCCGAACATTTGTTGTATGTTCGACACTTAAAACCCGAATCATTGGCTCATTTTCGACACTACTAAATCGAACAATTACAATTTGTTCAGTTGTAGATAGTCGAAGATGAGTACTTTCTTAGACACTGGGTTACCGAATGGATACAAACGGTTTCCCATTTAGCAAGTAAACGAAAATGAAATTTTTTTTTTTTGAAAAACTAACATTTTCCTTGCTCCGTTGTTCCAAATTAATATTGCCAGACGCATCCGTCATTCAGTTCAATTAAAATCTTCAATAATATGATGTTTTTTGGTTGTTTCTTTAAGGGTATTTGGTTTTTGTCTCAGAGTTTTTAGATTCTTGAGAGAGAAGATACGGAAGTAACATTTGAGATTTTTGGTATGTATTGTATTCATTATTATCATTTATGGTAATTTTACAAAAGGTGTATATCATAACCCTTTGTCCTTTGTAGTCATTTTAAATAAGGTTAATATTGTAATAAAAAATAAACTAATTAATGGTTTGTCATAAGATGAAATGTGGTGTGCAAATAGAGGCACCCGTGCATATGATACACATGCCTAAGGCTCTGTTTGGGAAGAGAGTTGTGCTAAAATACTCTATTAAAAGACAAAAAAAGTTAAAATAATTAATAAGACAAAACGTCACATCTAACTCATAATCATATCACTTTTTTTTATACAATCATCAAATCAACTATAAAAAAAATTAATTATCTTCTAAAATACAATTATTTTAACCATATTAAAATAAATAATAATAAAAAAAAAATCAAACAACCAACTAAAATGGCTAACTTTTCAACACCAAGGATCCTCTAGAGTATTTTTTTCTTAAAGTTTCCTAAAGTGGTGTATTGTGTGGTTGAGATTTAATGCTGAAAAATTGATGTGAGTTGTCATTAAATTTCAACCACACAATGCACCCCTCTAGGAAACTTTAGAAAAAAAAAAACTCTAGAGGGTCCTTGCTCACTTTTCAAACCAGGCCGGTCTTTCCCCAAATCGGACTAGGAGAGAGCAACACGCCGAGACGCTGCCTGGAAGAGCGAGAGAGAGAATAACGACAAACCCTAACCTCAGACGCGCTCGCGCACAAAACACACACAAACGCACACACAAACACGAGAACACAGAAAACCAGCAAACCCTAGATTGATCTCGGTGACTCATTGGTTCATCATAGCAAGAAAGTAATTGATTTGCGGAGAGAGAAGCAAACCCTAGATTGATCTCGGTGACTCATTGATTCATCATAGCAAGAAAGTAATTGATTTGCGGAGAGAGAGAGAGAGAGAGAGAGAGAGGAGAGAGAGGAGATTGAGAGATATGGGGAAGAAGAAGAAGAGAGCTCCATCGAAGGTATGGTGCTATTACTGCGACAGAGAGTTCGATGACGAGAAAATATTGGTTCAGCACCAAAAAGCCAAGCATTTCAAGTGCCATGTCTGCCACAAAAAGCTCTCCACAGCCGGTGGCATGGTCATTCACGTTCTCCAGGTTCACAAAGAGACCGTCACCAAGTAAACTACTTTCATCTCTCTCCATTCAACCTCTTCTAATCCTCAATTGATTCTGATTTCTTTTTATGTTTCTCATGTTTAATTGAAGATTAAAATTGAAAATGTGAAGCTCGGCAAGATTTAGTATGCTGTTCCAGTTTTTTCTAACTCGAAAGTGTTTTTTATTAAATTTTTGTGTGTATATTTTTTTATAAAAAAAAAAGTTTACAAAACCTTAAATCCTGAATAAAGTGAAATTATATGACAATTTATACATCATATGTGATATTGTCTTGATCTATACCAAGTTTTATTGGAGCTGTTTTAATCCTCGCAATTAATTGAAATTTGGAATCCCATTTTCTATGTTTCTGATTTCTATATATGTTTTTGATATTTGTATTTGTTCCTGATTGTTGACCTTTTTCTCAATATGGAAAATCTGTCCTTAATTAAAGATTAAAAGGGGGGAAAAAAAAATTGAAGCTTGGCAGGAACTTAGTATGTTGCTCCGGTTTTTTCAGACCCTAAAGTGTTTTTTTATTATTATTTTTTTTTTCTCAGGAGAAATTTTTCTATTGTTCTGTGTATCTGAATGGATATTTAATCATGAAGCTTGCAAGAATTGTTGTGCAAGGCAAGTTGGTTGCTGTTTTTTATTTTCGCATATACGGTTTCTCATTAAATTTTTTTCATGCTTATATTTCTTTAAAAAAATATGGGTACAAAACCTTTTTGCGAAACAGACAGCCAATGACTTGTTATTTATTTTTTTTTTTTATATTAGCAATGGTATAGTGATATGGATCAGCTTTTAATGCCACCTAGTTGATGTGTCTGTTCTGTTGTAAGCTGTTGAACATAATTTTTTTATTTTTTTTAGTTTCAAAAACAAAACCCATAGTCTGCTGCATGTCAACATTTTGGGACATTGGAGTTGGTGAACCTTCTACAGTGCAAATATAACTGAACTGTTTGTGTGAGGGTCAGGGAAAGCATCATGATTCATGAGGATCAGGGAGGGAAAAATATAAAACAAAACTAGTATTATGCTCTATGTCAATAGTTTCTCCCAACAATAGAACATTCTTGGAATCTAAGTTTAAAAACATTGATATGGTCTACCTAATGACATTATTTAATTAATCCTTTACATGATTTTTTTTTTGGGTGAAAACCAGTAAGTAATTATAGGAGTGAAAACTTGATATAATTTTAAGGGGAAAAAAATCCGATGAGTCATGGTAATAATTGTGTGGATATGGGAAAATCTTCCTTGAGTTTGGTTGATGATGTATTTATGGTAGGGGGCCTTCTATTTTGGGTTGTAAAGTGGAATCTTCGCCTTCAACTTATTTGTATTTACCTTTGTGATCATCATTTAAGGTGAGGCATGTCTGGGATTCGGTGGTAAAAAGATTTCCAAAAATGTTTGGCTGGACGGAAGAGGCAATATTTGTCAAAGTGGGAAGCCACACTTTGATTAAAAGCACTTCGTCGAATTATTCAACTTAATTACATAATGGTCTAAAAACATGGGTAAAAGTCTTTTTTCCATGCCTTTTCTCCTTTCCCAACACCGCCACCAACCCGCTCCATCTCTAACAACCATCACTGCCCTTCCCCTCTCTTTCCCCCCCACAACCCACAACTACAACACCCTCCTTTCCCCTTGTCACTTCCCTCTTTATCTCTCACACCCTCCCTCCCCTTCTCCTTCCATTGCAAAGAGCTCAATTAGAAACCATGATGGCGACTGTGATGGCAGGTATAACAGTGACTACGAAATCAAACTAACTTGTTAATTCAAGTTGAGTAGAGGGTTCGTTGTTGACCAAATAGAAGCCATCAAAGCTTTTATGTCAAATTGAACTAATGTGGGAATAGAGATATTAAAGGGCTTGTCATTAGATTCATAGCTACGTGTGTAAAAGGTTGTAAGCAAATGAATTATTACTTATAAAACCCTCATAATATTGCAATTGATTAGCCAATGAAAGAAAAATATACGTTGTTGTTTCAATCGACAACGAAATAATCTATGAAGCACGGATACTTCAAAAAGAGTGGTGTATCTGTATCATATCTATATTATATCCATAGTTGTCAAATCAGGATTCGAATCGTGAATCGAAATGGTATTGTACCGAATCGCGAATCGAATCGTGAATCGTAAAAATTCGGTCACCTTTTTTTAATTATATAGAAAATATATCTACACACTTAGATATTAAATATATCTAATAAATATGAAATATTTAGACACAAATCACTAAAAATATTGTTTTAAATGATGATCACGTGGTCTAAGTAAGAAGTTAACGTTGATTTCAATGTTTACCACTTCACCTTTTTCCCTTTTAGATACTATTTATTATCAACTGTTCTTAATGAAGAAAGCAAACGAAGACAAACTTTCAATTTTCAAGTAACAATAACTCAAAAACAATGTTCTTAACTTTTTACAAGGTTAAAAAATCAAAATCTTCATACTTTTTCAAAAATCTCACTTGATGCTTTCAAAAAATTCATTTTGTAAATGCAAGTATTTAGATAAAATTGAATATGTAAGTCTAGAATATTGTAGAGAGAGAAAGTTCTTTCCCCCTCCCGCTAAAGTTTGTGTATTTGAGAGTAAATAGGGAGGAAAAGAAAGTCAAAAGATGACATGTAGTAATCTTAGAGACCTTAAAAAGGTTGTATGAACCCTTTTCCAACAATAAAAACTCAAAAAGGAAAGCCAAATATCGATTTTAGCGAATTGAATTGATTCACGATTCACCGATTCGATTCACCGATTCACCTACGATTCATAGCTATTTGCGATTCACACAACCTTTTCGAATCGATTACCTACTGAATCGAATCAAATCGTACGATTCGAATCGATTCGAATTGTACGATTCTAATAACAGAGATTATATCCGTTTTGGATATCAATACTCCTTGGACACTTATTAAAAGTATCGAATACTTCTTAATTAAATTTTCATTAATTTTCGAGTATCGGATACTTAATTTTGAAGTATCGGATACTCCAAGTTAGTTATTTTTATTTTTATTTTTATTATTTTTATTATTTTTTTATTTTTTACGAAATTAGAATTGTATGCTTTAGCACTTCTTGCATAACATTATAATATAATACAATTTTAAGAATAAATACAAGAATAATTTTCTAATACTTTGTTTAATTTTTTGATAAAAAGAACATAGTGAATTTATAATATCTAATTCTTAAAGGTTGGTATTTTGCATTATAAATTTACAATGTGGTTTCTCAACATTCTTTACCTTATATGTAACTCACTACTAATAATTTAAAATATATATATTTTTTACGAACGTATCCTAACCATATTCGTATCCATATCTTATTTTTTAAAATTTTTTCGTATCACCATATCCGTATCGTATCTGATTCGTATCTCATATCCGTATCCATGTTTCCTAAGAAATAATAATGAATAGTAGTGTTAATAATTTCAAACCTAGTTGACAGTGCATCAATTGCCATGAGGCAAAGATCGGTGAGAAACTTGTGTGGTTGGGGGTTCAAATCTGGTGAGGGAAGGAGCCATGGTTTAGGGAACACAAAAATGGGGGCTGAAACAGTGGGAGTGAAGGGAGCGGAAGAGTGAGGCGGTGGCTGAGGTCGCCGGAAGGGTGGAGGGCTAACAGTTGACGTGTGGAATGGAAAGGCATGGACAAAAATACATTTTTGTTCATATTTTGGACCATTTTGTAATTGAGTTTTAAGGGGTTGTTTGGGGTGGTCTAAATAAGTGGACTTTGTCTTTTTGGACTAGAAAGTTGAGGAAAAAAAGATGGATATTTGGGTTAACTTTTTGACTTTTTACGAAAAAATGTATATTTAAAAATTGTATAAATAAATGTATAGGAGAAGTTAGTGAAGTAGCCCCATACAATCTGGCAAAGCAGTGGGCTGATTAGGAGATAGGAAATGGTTGCCTCATTTTCAGGCTTGAATTAGACGGTGTTGTTCGGCCTGTGTGGGCCCATCACGGGTCTCATTTTGCTAATCGGAACCGTTCAATGTGTAGAACTCGTCGAGTACTATATGCTTGTAAAAAATCACGTTGATCGGATATCGATAGCTATCTGATCGTGTTAATTTTTTGTCAACCATTAACTATAACACCATCTATTTTTTATACAAAACTGATTTAATTATGTAGTTAGCGATATCCGATCAACGTGATTTTTTACAAGCAAATAGTATTTGACGAGTTCTACACATTGAACGGTTCAGATTATCAAAACGAGACGCGTGATGGGCCCCCACGGGCCGAACAACATAGTATTGTTTGTGCACCCCGCTTGTGCAATTTTTTCCAAAAAGTCAGCAAAGTCTGTGGGGGAGACAAGCACCGGTTGTAATAATTAAGTGTAAAGTTAATTTTTTTTAATATTTTTTTTGGTGAATAGTAATAACTTTTTGACTTTTTTATGTATTCCAAAGCAGGCCTAAATATGAAGATTTGAGAATAAATTTTTACATACATTTAATGGACTTAGTTGTGAATGATTTCTCATTTAATTCCTTAATTATAATAATAACAATGCTAGAGACCCCAAAATTTTTGCAAAATATTTTACCAGACATGGGTGTGAGACCCACATGATCCCACATCCATGTGAGACATTTGGTAAAAAATTTGATAAAAATTTTGGGATCTCCAGCTTTTTTCTTATAAGAATCCATTATCTTAAATCCTATTTAATTTCAAATACATTTCTACATAATTTAGAACATTTTATCTAAGAATATTATACAATATGCTATGAAGTACGGACATGGACACAGGACACAGTAATTTAGAAAAAATGGGGTCACCGATACGGCGGGACACACGACAATTTTTTTTATATATATTTGCTATGTAGATTAATATTATGTTACCAAACAATCAAAATTAATAAAAACTAATATTAAATTAATTTTATTCAAAGAAATCCATAAATAAATATAAAAATAAAAAATAAAAAAGTATATATTTATAAAGGCAAAAGAATTAAATAGAGAAATTAAAAAAAAATATTAGAATAAGTATATATATAGAAAATGATATAAATTTATAAAGAAAAAAATTTAAATACAAAAATAGAAAATATATAAATATAAATACAGAAATAGGCAGAGAGAAACGTGTATACGTATAATTAGAAAACAAATCTAAAAAAAGAAGAGAGTATTACAGTTTTGGGGGAGAGAGAGAGAGAGAGATGGGAGGCGAAAGGCGAGAGAGAGATGAGAGACGAGAGGTGAGAGAAAGACAAGAGGCGAGAGAGAGGAGAGGCGAGAGAGAGACGAGAGAGAAAGAGAGACTTACTAGACCGATTGAGGTTGTTGAGATGGAGGTCAACTAGAGCCTTTCATCAAGGTTCAAAGTTTGATTCGAAGCTTTTTGTTGCCAACAGGTTCTCTACTTCACTCTATTTCTTTTTTTCTCTTTTTGTTCTTCTGATTTTGGGATTTAGGGCAAAAGCAGAGAAATGAATGGACACGTGTGTCCCCTGCCATGTCGCTTGCAAATAAATAATAAAATTAAAAGGACATGCCAGTGTCCTTGGCGTGTGCTCGTGTCCCTAGCATGTCGGCGTGTTCGACACCACTATGATGCCTATTTTCAAGTGTCCTTGCTTCATAGAATATTTAATATATTTATACTATGTGTTTCTTATATTTATGTATACACACATAAAATTATATGCTTTGCCAGACAATAATGTTTGTGCCTAGAGTGTGTGAATAAGACAAAACCCTAATGAATTATTAGCTATTAAAAAATTAAATTTAATGTTTAGTGTTCAAAACTAGTTTCAAATTAACTTCGAAAGTTACCAACCATGTCAATATTGATTAAAATAAGTGATAGCAATGTCAACCAAACATAGTAGACATGACGATTTAAGAAGAAAACACTTCTCAAGAAAAAAAAATCACGGACACAACCAAACAAAAACAATTCACTACCCTGCTAACATGTTCATGAGAAGAATGTAGTTGAGATAAGGATATTTAAATGAACATGTGGTAAGTCCAGGAATGACAAAGTAGCAATGAATATATTGGTGAAATGGTATGAGTTGTACCAATTAAGAATAAATTGAGTGCGAATATATATACTCAGGTGGTTTGGGCATGTACAGGAACACTAGTAGATGCAATGGTAAGAAAAAGTGATATGATCGTTGTGAACAAAAATATTATTAAGGGAAAGGGAAGACCTAAATTGACATCAGATGTAATAGTAAAAAAAAATATGAATATACTTAATTTAATTGAACATATTTTTTTATAGGTAAAATTTAACTAATGTGACTTTTTATAAATTGTGATGGCTGAAATTTGTTCATGTACGTGGCCCCATCTTTTTGAGACACAAGGCTTAGTTTAGTTTGATTTGGTACCATATGGTAAATTTTAGGTAATCAATTCTATGTCATGTGATCGTGTCTTGTTTGCAACCACCTATTTATGACAACTCTTGCGTCAAACAATATCCTTAGGAAGGGAAAACTAGTTAGGGTTTTGACTGCTACAAGATGATACATATCTGACTATAGTGTACAAAGATCTATTTGTGGCAAAGTCTCTGGGTAGCTTTCTAATTCTCTAGTCCTTGTGTATCCAAAAGATGTTGCCTGGCTATAATTAGATGAATTTGGGGAGAAGGCTTAGAAGAGTTGCACGATTAGGAATTTAAAATAATATCTCACCTTGTATTTAACGATACAGTGAAACTCTGATCTTTTTCTTTTTACTGACCTAAAGCTTAGTCTTCTAGTTGGTACTTGACTAAGAGGTACAAAAAAGATATTGAATTCATAAATGAGAAAAATGACGTGAAAAATTTGACATGAAAATCAATAGGAAAATAGATTCTGATGGGTGGCAATGTTTTGTGGAGTCAACGATGTGTGCATTATATATTTAAACTTAACATGGTTTTTGGTGTAAGTGGCTTCTGTTGATGATTTTTATTTTTCAAATTTGGTTCTTTTTCCCCCCTCTATAGTTGGTACTTCTATTGGGAGTGATGAATCTGCTCAAGAATCATGACTGTGATTTAGAGCAAGAATCAAGTTGGAATTTCTCAGCTGGGATGGAACTTTTCAAACATATGAATATACAATTAAAAAAAGAAGAAAAACTACCGACCTAGAGAAAATTTCTAATAGTCATCAGATTATTGGCAAAAGTAAACAAAAAATTATTCTATTACTTAACATTTACACAATATTTATTTATATTTACCAAATAACAATTTGCAGTTTGATACCAATCTCCAATTTATTCAAACTAGCCTATCACCCATGCTATGCACGGGATAATTATAGATATTTATATTTGTTTTAATTTTTTTTAATATATAAATTATGTTTTTTAAGATTTTTTATAAAAATAATTTAACAATCTTATCACTAACCATAGTGTACAAGAGAAATTAAAAAGGCTACTGCAGTAACTATGCAAGGGCTGTATCTATAATTATTTGTATGAGGGGATTTTAAATGCTAATCAGGGATTTTGACCAAATCAATAAATGCAGGCATGTGGATTGAAAAAAGTTAATAAATGTTGATCATGAGATTTTGACCAAATCAATAAATGCTGAGGTTTTTTTTTGTTTTTTTAAATCAAAAATTTAGAAAATTAAGATTGAGAGATTGGAGCTCCCACACGGATTGGGATTTAGAAACCCCATTTTTCTTAATATATTTACAATTATCTATATATGTGAATTGCGATTTTTAAATGTTTTTTTTTTTTTTAAATGTCTTCTTTTTTTCCTTTTTTATATTATATTAAAGTTTAATATTTTGATAATAATCATATGTGTTGGACTTTTTAAGAAATTTTTTTTATGCTTGTTCTTAATACATTACAGTGTTATTATGAGGGTAAGACTTGGGGGTTGAGAGAAGTTAATAAATGCTAAGTTTTTTTTTTTTTTAAATCAAAAAATTAAGAAATTTAGATTAGGAGATTGGAGCTCCTACAAAACTTGGGTTAAAAACCTCCTTTTAGTTAATATATAGTATAGATTTCAAACTATATATTACAATATTACTATATATTTTTACAATATATTAATGTTATAAAGTATATAAGCTAGGCACTCCTAACCTTTGACTCTTGTACATGCCCCTACTCCCCTGGCCCCCCATTCCCGCCCCCTTCCCCGCTTCCTTATCCGCTTCATGCAACTAAGAGCTGGTAAAAATAGTATGAAAAAGACATTACTTTTCTTTTAAAGTTTCAAATCTTGTGTAGTTGTGGAAATGCTTGTGTTATACTGATTCAAGATAAATTTGTATAGGGTGCCGAATGCAAAACCTGATAAAGAATCTACTGACATTGAAATATATGGAATGCAAGGAATCCCACCTGATGTCTTGGCAGCACACTATGGGGAGGAAGGTATAATTGTCATTAATTTGTCATTGTACATTTTACCTTTTGCATTGTGTTTGTGATTGTATGTATGTTTTTGCATTGTCATATTTAAAGCTGATTAAGAAGCTTGTTTTGGTTTGGATCAACTTATTGGAGGCTGTGTTCTCACTAAAGAGATTTAGATATTTGACAAATCAGTGGATATGAAATTTTATATGATTTGCCAAATTTGTGGTCTTCTAAAATCTGGATCTTAAAAGTATATTCTAAGACTGCAAAGTCAAGTTCATCTATGGTGTGGTACGTGGATGGCTTGGAACATTAATTTCAGTTAAGAGTGGCTAAGTGATGTAGGATGCCTTAGAAAGAAAGAGAAGAGAGAAGAAGTGGAGAGAAGGAGAGGGCCACAGCCTTAACACAAACGGCCACAGCCTAATATCTCACATTCTCATTAATCAAAAGCTGACTATTACAATGCAACCCTAATATACATAGGCTAGAAAACCTAATCAAAATAGAAAACTAAATCATAATCTATACTCCTAATAAAACTCAATTAACTTAGGGAACTAAATTCTAATAGAATAAGAGCTAATATTAATAAAAATCTGTTAAAACCTATCACCTACTTCACCCACTTAAACCTACTCCACTAAACCTAACCCACTACACCACTACCACCTCACCTACTCCACTAAACCTAACCCACTACACCACTACCACCTCCACTTCACCTACTCCACCTACTACCACCTACTCTTCTATATATAAGAATCATTGTAACATTCAATATATCAATCTATCAATAATACAATCATTTTTCTTTATACATTAAATTTCTACAAAATCCTAACTAAAATAAAATTCTAATTAAACTATTATTTAAAATAAATAAATTGAATAAAATGATAAATACATAGGGTGTGTTTGGTTTGTGTTTGTAAAGTAGTTTTTGAGATAAAAAATACGAAAACTTATTTAGTTTGCCTTTTTTCAGAAATGGTTTTGGAAAATTGTTTTGGGGAGAGAGTTTTAAAAAAAGTGATTGATTTTATGTGTATGAGAGATAGTGTGATTTTAGAAAGTAGGTAACTAAGCAAAATTTTGAGATTTTTTTTGGAAAATTTTGTTTGGTTTGATTACTCATGAAAATTTGTTTGTAGAAAATTTTTCCCAAAATTTTTTCTGAAAAACAGACCAAACAAGGCTATAATCTCCATATGTGCATGTTCTGCATCACTAACATTTCAGGTATTAACAATCTGATGAGCAGCAGCAAATACGAGATCTCCCTCATTAAATTTGCATGAGATGAGAGTAGGGCGTTGGAGTTTTCTTGTTCAAATAGCCACAATGGAATTTGATTCATCGTACTGAAGCAGTGGTATCTCTTGGCCATTTGATGTTATAAGGGAGCCAATATTTTTGTTTTGTAGACAAAACCTGTTCCCATTTGATGTTTTATAGTAGTTCTGCACTTTGCGATGTATTGGCTAAGCGTCTTTTATCTTTCTTTTGTTCTTATTTTTGCTAGGCATTCTCGTATCACATTATTCTCTATATATTTTTTTTGTATGTAACTGTACAGTCTACACAAACTGCTGATGCAATAGTACTTCTCACTTCATGCATCGTTTTTTTTTTTATCTAATGGCAACTGTTACCAAATTTATACGAATTGAAAGCTTGCTTCTACAGGAAATATGGTGAGAAGGAATTTTTTAGATGTTTGCACATGTTATGGGTCTTATGGCACCATCCATCTCAATTTGGTAACACAATGATGACTTATTTTTCTAGCAGAAGACGATGCTCCATCAAAATTGGCCAAAGTGGAGATTCCTTCATCTGTTACACCTGGTTCATTAGGCGTTGGGTTTCCTCCTCAGCCAACTTTAGGCACAATGCGGCCAGTGTATGTTTTCTGTTTTTGTTCCCAGATATTCTTGCTTCCCTCTGTGGAACATCTGGTTTCTCAAAAATTATGTTTTTACTGCATGAAAAACTTGACACATAGTGAAGCTGTTCATTTTGCCAAATTAAAGTGACTGCAATTTTATTTTTTTATTATACATTTTGGGATTTCACTTTAGAGAGTGAGAAATTTATATTCCCAGTGATGCATGGCTTATTTAATGGCATTGATGCAGTTCTGTTTTTTATCGAAAAAAAAGTCTGGGTTCATGTGATTGCCTTGGCATGCTAATAAGTACATTTCTTTTTGTTTAAGCATATCATAGCTCTCCTAGAGCGAACATTGGGAATTTTCTATCGAGAGTGGACCACTTGTTTTTTTCTTTTATATTGATTATAATCTTATCTCTTTTCGAGGATATATTTTTTGGTACCAAACATTCTAAGCACTCTAGATTTGTCTACTTTGTTGATTTTATTGATTTGTTTGTTGTGACTGTTTTTTGTACAAACTATAGAGTAGAAGAATAATTTATCTATATGCAACTGCCATTCTTTAGATGATTTTTAACAATTTATACACACAACTGAACCTTTTCTTACTGATTTTTCTTGGTTGTTTTGTTGCAGTTACAATCCTGCTTTAGCTGTCCGTCCTGCTGGTTGGCCAGTCCCACCTCGTCCCCAACCTTGGTTCCCACAGCATCCAGCTGTTTCAGTTCCTCCTGCACCATTGGGTTTAGCACAACCTTTATTTCCTGTACAGAATATGAGGCCTCCTGGGCCACCCACTACATTGCCTGCACTTCAACCATCTTTGCCCAACGCTCCTCCAGGACTGCCTCCAGCCTCCCCCGTTGCTGTATCTCAGCCATTGTTTCCTGTTGTTGCCAATAACAGTATACCTACGCAAAGTTCACCATTTTCTGCACCTATGCTTTCAGCAAATATTCCATTAAGCTCCCCTGCAGAACTCAAAAGCTCAATCGACGCAAGCAACACTTCTTTTATGGCAAATAATTACCACACACCTGGCTTTCAAGGTTTGAATCATCTTCTCATTTTGATTCCTCGTAAAGGTGCTTGAAAATCCAAAGAAATGATCCTTAATGTGCTTTAGATATGGGAAAATATCTTGAAATACATGATTATCAAGTAGAAAAACCCAGATTCCAAATGAACCAATTCAATCTTGAAAAGGATCTTTCTGATTCTTGAATAAATAATGATGATTGTTCTTGAAATTGGGAGGAATTGGTGATAATCTCCTTATACTTCTGTTTTTTCTCTTTTCTTCTTTGATCAGCTTTTCATAGTAGAACATTATGTACAGTCATCACAGATTTAAATCTTCTGTTAAACAATTATCTGCCCTCCGTGTGTGTCTCTTTCACACACAAAATCATGAAACACATTCACAGGTAAATTAAGGCCAAGTTTGGCATAACCTAAATAATACAAAAAGTCACTATCCTATTGAAGTCACATCATCTTATTTAAATCATATCACCTCTCTAATACATCACATCAAACCCAACCCAAACCCAACCCATATAAGCCAATAAGTCAAAAAGTGTACTTTTTTAGACAATCCCAAACCAACCCTAACTATTACTGCATACCAGATTGGAATGCTCAAAAGGAAATCTTCTAGTTCGTTGCCTTTTAAGTTAGTTTTGTTTAGAGGGTTAGACAATAATTACAAGCACCTATCTTAAATACTTATTTTGACTATCAGTTGTGGTCTGTCAGTTTAGGCATGCCCAAATACATATTGAATTTGTATAATTATTCGATTTTGATGTGTTCTTTGCATTCATTTACTGCAGGTGGGCCATCAGTCAATTCACATTCTTATGCTTCTGGTCCAAATACTGGTGGTCCATCAATTGGACCACCTCCTGTAATTGCAAACAAAGCTCCTGCTAACCAGCTAGCCACAAATGAGGTCTATTTAGTTTGGGATGATGAGGCAATGTCAATGGTTAGTTTTTCCTGTTTTCCTTTCTGTCTCCAGGTCCGTAACCCAGATGCTTTTTTTTATTATTTATTTTAACCTTGCCTACTGTTGTGAATCTTGGTATTTGCAGGAGGAAAGAAGAATGTCCTTGCTGAAGTATCAGGTGCATGATGAAACTAGCCAGGTAAGTTTTTAAGTACCTCCCCTTATATTCTTTCAATGGAAATGGTGTTGCTTTGCACATCTAGTAACCAGAGATGGGTAGGTGTTACCTTCCACGTTTTCAGATTTGGTTGTGTAAGCATTTTACATATTTTCCATTTTTTATTCACTTTTAAAAAACAATACACTGCAAAGAATGTATGAGCCTTCCACTGAAGTTCCTTTTGACTTTCAACTCACGTTGATTGATGGGTCTTGATTTATCTTTTCCTACCTGGTAAGCGATCCTACCAATTTTGTGTCCATCAAAGATTCTACTAGGTATTTACGTTATGTTTGCTGGTAGTTAGTAATTACAATTCTAGCAAAGCTTGCTGCGATCAACACGAGGATGCTCCCCGTTAAGAACAGTGTGTATGTATTTGCTCTTTAGATAATTTTCTTCATTTATTGTTGTATATTCTCGCTATGCTTGATTTTGAAGTGTGGGGGTTGAGTGGAACAAGAATATTACCCAACAGAATTTTGCCCATTGATATCGTCAATTCCAATTCCAGTATTATTATTATGATCGAACAGTGAATTCAAAGTTGGCCCAGGTCAGCTTCTTTCGCAAAGTTTGGTATCTCTTGTACAGAAGCAAAAGCTGTAATACTTTTAATATGGTTTCTTCCGGGGGAATTGTTTTCATGGTTGTGTTCTAATATTTTTTGTATTGTCATTGTACGTTCCAGATGAGCTCGATTGATGCAGCTATTGACAGAAGGATATTGGAAAGCAGGCTTGCTGGTCGCATGGCTTTCTAGATCTGTAGTAGTCTCTTTCTCTGAATGTTGAAGTCCTTTAAATATGGTGGAATTTACTTAATTTACATATCCTGTTGGGATCTTGGTCCTGGCTCTCGAGTTGCGTGTTGCATTTTCTTTGGAAGGGATGTTGGACAGCATTCTTTCAACCATTAGCTAATTGTTTAGAAAGGGGGAAGAAGAAGATAATTGTTTTATTTTTCATGGGATTTTGTAATCTGTTAGGACTTTGTAATGATATTACACTCTGTTTTGTATTTTACAATAATTAAGTTGAGGGCTTGGGCACGTTAGCGGTTCATAAGTTGATCTTTTTCTCGATAACTTTGCGTTGCGAGCATATAATTGTGCGCAGGGGTTGGACAAGCCAAGATAGAAAGATGATTGCACCAGGTGTTGGTTGTGGATGACTGTTGGTCTCCTGTGTTTTATGATGCTTAATGTATTCTTTGAAATGAGTATACAAAGCAGATGTTAGAAGTGAAGATCTCTCTCTCTCTCTTAACGTGATCCATCAGTGCGAGTCTAGATCCTTTAAGAAAGTTTTTTTTTTTTTTGGAATGGTGAGATTTAATTCTACAAAAATTGAGTGTACAATGGTCATTTAACATTTCAACTCCCAAACTGTAACCTTCCCAAAAAAATTACCCGGACTCAGTGCGAAATATAGCACAAGGAATAGTAATGTTAAATTGTAGCAATGGTTTTACCTTACAATTGAAGATGTGATTTAGGAACTTATTTTTTTGGGAATAGCGAGAGTTCTATATATTCATTGGAGAAGCTCTAATTTCTTGTCCGTCGTGCTAATAATTTCTATGCAAAATCAAGGCCGCCTTGATGGAGTAAATATTTCTAGGACATCTCCCAAATTACTTATCTTCCTTTTGTAGATTATAGTTTTCTTTCTTTTTATCTAAAATCAGATGATTATTTCCAGAATTTGAAGCAAATCCTTGACACTTATGGTCTTATGTTTGGTTAAATAATTAATTTTCATAAATCTCGTCTTTTGGTCAGTACCAATACCCCTTGGATTTATTTTATTTTATTTTATTTTATTGTTGTCTCCCTCCTCAAGTCTATACAACTCTCCTCAGTTAAGGTATATTTGGGTTTTGAGCTTGACAATGTTAGTCATAGGAGGGATATTTTTCATACTATCATTGATAAAGTCAAAAAATAGGTGCCAAGGTTGCATGTCACTTTTCCTTAATAAGGTCGGTTGCATCACTCCAATAAATTCTCTTTTCAATGCTTATCTATCACATCTCCATCTATCATTTTCCACTTTTGTGTCTAGTTTTTCCAATTTCTCTTGGACTTGTGATTCATCTTGCATTGAACTCCATTTTCTCATATCTACGATTTTGAATAAAAGTACCAGGATATGTATTAGCATCGGTGATATGGTTATATATCGACCGATATCAACGAATAACAGACAATATTGGCCGATATATCAACCAATACGATACGCAACGGTTGATATTTAAAACCTTTCTCATATCTGAATTAGATTTGTGGGAACCTTTTAGATGGCAATTGGACAATTATATTCTTATAGGAAACAATCATGCCCTTCACATATTTCTCAAACTTATAAACATTCATTTAATGTTATAGGAAGTAATGAACAAGAGCATTTCTGATGTGCTGTGAATGCTCTAATACAAAGAGAAGTTCAAAATCAACAATAACAGAGGAAGTAATGCAAGGAAATTAAGATACTTATCGGCCCCTCCAGCTAGTGAACGGTGGAATTGGTCCCTCGGATTAGTCGGTCCAACGGCTGGATACCGAGTCATAAAAAAGCATGATTTCACAATTGATACTAATTGAAATTCAAAAGAAAAATTGCAAGTATAGAATGCCAACAATGGGGTTATGGCAAGAGAAAATTCAAGCCGATCCCTTGAGTTTCTTAGCAATGCCAGCAATGTACTTTCCTTGGTAGAAAGCTTGCTCGAGTTCAAGCTCCGAAGGCTGCCTCGAGCCATCCCCGGCAAACGTTCCAGCTCCATAAGGGCTACCACCCTTCACCTTCTCCATTTCGAACATGCCGGCTCCAAATGTGTAGCCAATAGGCACAAAGATCATTCCGTGGTGAACAAGTTGAGTAATGGCTGTTAATCTGTGTGGTATAAGAAATTTCATAAGATGAGTCCTTTTTCATTTCTGAATTTCAAATTGTACGATGAATGAGAATGTGAAATTTCTTTGAAAGATTAGAACTTACGCTGTAGTCTCTTGACCACCACCTTGAGATCCGGTGCTGTAGAAGATGCCTGCGGGCTTTCCAGCAAGCTGTTGAGTTTTCCATAGACCTCCGGTTGAATCCAAAAATGCTTTGAATTGGGCAGCCATCATTCCAAATCTAGTGGGGAAGCCGAAAATAAGCCCATCTGCCTCTGCAAGCTCGTTGGGTGTAATGACCGGCGCATCACCCTTTGGTGGTGCGTTCATCTTTGCTAGAACCTCATCAGGCAATGTTTCCGACACCTGGTATTCCATTTGGTCACACATATACATAATCACGGAACTTGTTTCCAATTACAGAGTCTTAAGCTGTGTTTGGATCTAAGATTTGAGGAGGGATTTGGACAGGAAAAGAAAAAGAAAAGGGAAATGTGACAAAAATTTATCTGGGTAATCAACATTGTTCTGAAACAAGATCTCTCCATCCAAACTATCTAACAAGCAATGTTTTCTCTAATAGTCATTTAATAAATAATAAAAAACTACAGTAATAATAATTTGTTTACTTAATTAAAACATTGTTGACAAAACTAAGTGATGAATGCAGAGAAAAGCACAGACTAACCATAGTTTCCGACATCTGTTCAATTTCGCCACCAATGTAAATAAGCATGGAACTTCATTCTAATTTACAGTCTTGCTTTGCATGATATTCTTTTGGTGCTGTCTAGAACTATATCTAGGTAATCAACATTGTTCTATACTTCTTTTTCAACAACAAAATTTTAACATGTCTGAAAATTTTGACAACAAAAGTTTAAGAACTCGTGAAGGTGTTAGCATACAGAGAAAATTAGCATAGTCCCTATGCAATAATGATATGCACAAATCAAGAAATGATCCATGATCTATTCACTCAAACTGTGAAATGTTTTCTCTAACAATCATTTAAAGAAATTTAAAAGAACACAAACTAAAACATAGTTGACTAGGCTAACAGATGAATACAAAGAAAAGCACAGACCTGCCATAGTTTAGCCTCAACTCCTTCAACAGAAGCAGCTCCTTTCTTTATCTCTTCTGCGAGTCTTTCGACATGTCCGTACATCGAGTAGTAACTACATCAACAATAAAATGCATATCTTCATTAACCCATAGTGTAAAAAAAAAAAAAAAAAACAATAGCAAAATGGATCAAATCAACAGTAGAAAACAACAAATTTACGCGATATCCTATTAATAGCTTTTATTTCCAAGTACAAGCACAATTGATTTAGTTTTACTACTGAATATTGATAGGAAGATTACCATGAGGCATAGCATAAAGTGCATCACTATAAAAGACATATAACAACACCATATCCACTTTCCACGGAAAGAAAAAACAAAAATGATCTGTCATGGAAATAACCAAATGGACAATAGCTACCACATATATTGGGTCCAAGGCATTAACCACTAAGTGTCTAGAAACAAATCTTTTGCACAATTCATATCCATTTCTTCTCTCTCTGTCTCTCTGTTCTAGTTTCTACTATTGATCCATCACAAATGAAGATCCAACATGTAGCTAAGAATAATATATTTTGGAAATTTTCTGTTATTTATCTGAAAGACTAGTAATTTTTTTTTTCTAAAAACCAATTGGGGCTTACCCAGTTGGACAGAACTCTTGCACTTTACGAAGAGGTCAAGGTTCGAGTATCCTTTTATTCAGTTTACGGACTCTAATGTACCAATATATAATATATACACTAGTGGTGTGTGCATAGATTACAAATTTTGATACGAATCTGAATTTTATTAGTTATAGGAGGCTTTGAACTGAATAGTTACAGCATACAGAGCAGTTACATGAGGGTATTTTAAAAAAATTAAAAGAACGTGACATCTATACCAAGTGTGTATATATATAATTCTGAATTAATAAATTAAGTTGAGATCTCTATTTTTGGAGCTACCAAATGTTCAATTGAACATTTACCAAATGACTAACAAAAATGTTCAAATGAGTTCTTTAGATTTAATATATCTGAGTCAAAACTTTAGAAAATCAAGAAGATTAAATGGAGAACACTAATGAAAACAATACTTCTTTTTTTAACTTCCAAACTAATTTTAGAATTGTTCACACTGTCATTTCCACATGACTAGTCAACAGAAAAAAGAAAAAAGAAAAGAAATGCAAATCACAGATCCATTTATCATAAAAAGAGTCTCATATAACACAAAACAAGAATGAAAAGAGCTATACACAATCAAACATATGCATATATATATATATATATCTAGAGAGAGAGAGAAAGAGAGAGAGAAGCATACACAATATAGACTTTGGTGGCCATTGGAAGAGTGTTCTGTTTCTCACTCTACAAGCTTTAGTTTGGTGAGTTCAATGTTAGACAGAAGATTTCATGAAGGAAGAGAGGGAAGACTTTTCTCTATTTATAGTGCAAGTGAATATTAATCAAAAGCTCTGCCTTTGTTCTTTGTTAGTTAAGTGCTTTGAAATAATCATAATTAATGGTCCAATTTCATAATTAGTGGGGTCACCTTCAAATTAAAAAAAGAAAAAGAAAAGAAATTAGGCATAAAATGGAGTGTTGATGTCATGCCCATCATCATTATGGTCATAATACTGGCTTTTTGTTTGTCAAAATAAAAAATAATCAGATTCTATTTCGACTTGGCAAACTTTCAATTATCATGTTTTCATAAATAATGGGATTAATTACATTTTACTCGAAACAGTACATTTATTCCAATTACTTATAAAAATCGTACAAATATCTCATTTTGAAAGGTAAAAGTAAAATAAATTTTTATAGTTGAGCAATCGAAATGTATACATTAACACTGAAAAGGGTACTATAATATTAATAACATTTAATAATAGTTGAAAGAAAATATAATAAATACTAAAGGTTGTTTTTATTTAATTCACATTTAATTTTTTATGAAAATACGTATAAAAAATAAAAAAATAATTATTTTTTTTATAATAACTTTTTTACTTTTTAACTATTTTAAGGTGTTCTCAAAATAACTTTAATTGATCTGAACACATTTAAAAAAAAAAAATTACGCGTATAATTAAAATATTTTTTTTACCTCAATCTCAGTACATAATAATGTCTAAGAAGACTCATTAATATATTTGCATCAAAGTCTAACTTATTTGAGAAAAAACGAATCTATCTTTAATAGGTAATTGAAAATCGTTTTCATATTAATCGTTTAAAATAGTGAAATCATTAGAACCTAAAATGATATTTTTCATTCAATTTCAAGATAACCACTTATCTGTTTGATTTATTGAAATAAATTTGAATAGGATAATTATTTCATTAGAATATTTATTCTTCAATCTGATTCATTAAAAAATATGATAAAAAAATACATTATAGATTAAATTATCATTTATTATTTTAAGATCGTGAACATTTCTAAAAAAATGAACAATGTTAGAGATCCATAATTTTAGATTTATAAATTCATTTATAATGATGTGACAAAAGAATTAAACCTTATATTATTGGGTACATAACAAATTAAAAATTTACATTTATTCTATCAAATTATTATGTCTCAAATATTTTTTTGAAGAAATAAAGAAAAATAATTTAAGTTCATATCAATGAACATGTAAGGTTAAAGTCCTAATCATATTGGGACAATCTTTGAGATTAGACCTTATAATGAATCGATATTTTAGATATCACTATTAAGTGATTGCTATATAACAGACCCACTCAATCATATAGCGATATGTCACCGATGTATATACTGACAAAAATTTAAACCCATAGTCTTGATAGGCTTTGTCCATACTTAAAAAGCTCATTCTAACAATTATATATATTATCATCCGAATAACTGATTTTGAGAAGAGTGCAGCCTGGACCTTAGAGCTTAGGTTAGGGTTGTTACAATTGGGACCCCCAAGGCAGTTCTTCTCACATGCTATTTTGGGGGTTTGCCAATATATCAAAATAAACAGCTTGTAACTTGGGAACTGGGATTGGTGGTTGCGCGTACAGCATAACGTAACAGCTGTTATGTGTTTGATGAGGAGTGCAGTGCGGATCCTCTGCCGAGTTACCTGTAGGGCTTCTTACAGGGTAGTCAAAACGATTTGATAAGATTCATTTCAGGTTTTATTTGGATAGTCATTTACTTTTTTAGTGTATATTTTGTAAAAAATTAAATTACTCTGATATCGGATCAATTTAATTTTAAAGATATATGTCATACACGATGTAACTTACAAAAAAATGTATCAGATCATAAAAGTGGGATAAAAAATAGATTCCATCAACCGCATAATAATGAACTATTATATTTCACGCACAACAGCTACTTCGATTCTTTTTAACTTGTAAGAAGGAGAAATTATTACATAGCTCCACTACACTATGGCTCCACTATACTATGGGCTGTGTAGGAAAATGGGTTGATGAGTTTTTGATTAAAATAGTTAATAAAAATAAAATAGATTAAAATAGTTAATAAGATAAAATGTCATATTCAAATCATAATCATTTTATTTTTTTTTCTTACAACAATTAAATCAACTACACAAAAAGGTCAACTATCATCACAAACACAATTTTTTTAGCCAAGTTAAAATAGTTAAATAGTCAAAAAATCAACTAAAACAATCAAGTTCTCAAACAAGCCCTATGTAGCTGTATGTTTATTTATTTGAATTTTTTGATTTATTTATTTATTATTAAACAAGCATACACTTAGCCCTTGTTTGGCATGTGAGTTTGAGGGGTTACCAAGTTAAAATAGTCACAAAAAAACAAAATAAGTTAAAAAATCAGTAAGACATACCTTTTTTTCTCACAAAAGTTTAAAAAGTTAAAAAGACCATCTCAAATGAGACTTTTTAATTTTAAATTAAAATAGTCAAAAAGTCAACTCATATTCCAAACGAAACCTAAGATATTTCCAAAACAAAAGATAATTATTTGTTAGGGAAACTGGTGAACTGTTAAATTTATAAAGTTCAAGGAAAGGTCAGCTGGTGTTTCTAGACACCATTGCAGTAGAAGTTCATGAATAACATATTAACATCAACTGTTGGTCGGTTGATTTATTTATTTAGCTATGATTTGACATGTCTTGAAAAAGATAAAAAATTAAAAAGTTATTTAAAAAGTTAAAAAGTTGTTACTATTCACAAAAAAAATATATAAAAAAACTAAATTTACACATAAAAAAATACAACTCAACTTTTTACTGAAGTGATGGGCTGCCCGCGTGATTGGTTTGCTATATTAGTCTAAAAATAATTGTCACATTCGCAGGCAAACATTTAGACTGTGCTTTTCGGCCCGTGGGGGCCACCACAGGTCACATTTTGATAATCTGAACCGTTCAATATGTAGAAGTCGTTGAGTACTATATGGTTGTAAAAAATCACGTTGATTGGATATCGCTAGCTATATGATCAAATTAGTTTTGTATAAAAAAAGAGGATGGTGTTATAGTTAACTGGTGAACAAAAACTAATCCGATCAATGTGATTTCGATATCCGATCAATGTGATTTCGATATCCGATCAATTTGATTTTTTGTAAGCATATAGTACTTGACGAGTTCTACATATTAAACGGTTCAGATTATTAAAATGGGACTCGTGGTGGGTCCCACGGGCCGAACAACAAGTCCAAATGGTTGCCCGCGAAGGAAGCAATCATGTTCTTATCTCCTACATGCCCAGAAAAGGTGCCGTATAGCCTATTACACTTACTTCTCTTATACACTTATTTATATAATTTTTTATTACATTTTTTTTCGTAAAAGATAAAAAATTAACCCAAACATCTATATATTTTTCCTCAACTTTTTAATCCAAAAAGATAAAAAGTGTATTTATTTAAGACACCCCAAACAACCCTTATTGTTTTGTCATATGGAATTAGTAGGTCTTACGAATATTTAAGGGTAAATTATACTATTAGTTTTTACAATTTAAGAAGAGTATCATTTTAGTCTTTATAGTTTTAGTTTGAACATTTTAAATTTTATATTTTTAATTTTGTTGTAATGCAATTCTTCTGTTATTTATTGTCAAAATTTTGAATAAAAAAAGATCACTTGTAAAACTAGAGAGATTAAAGTGAAATTCAAACAAAATTATTTCCATAGTCCCTATAGTTTCTTCTGAATTTCACTTTAATCCTTCTATATATATATATATATATATATGTTTACATTCAACATATTAACAAAGTATAAGGGAGGGATTACATTGCAATGAAATTCGAAGTGTAAGAATCTTGTTCAAACTAAAACCGCAAAGACTAAAGTAAAATGTTATTCAAATTAGAAAGACCAATAATATAATTTACCTAATATTTAAAAATGAATCCCTCTATTGATAGAAAAATAAGATAAAAAAAGAGAAATTAATCAATAAGTCTCATATTTTAGACTTGTAATTTATATTAAGGCTGAGTAAAGAATCCGTGAAATCCGTAATCCGATCCAGTCCAGTCCAATCCGATAGGTTTGGATTGCTTTTTTGAATTTGCGGTTCGGTTCCGGATTGAAGAATTAAAAATCCGTAGTCCACGAATTGGTTCCGGATTGAACCCCACGGTTCCGGATTGGAACCGATCTGGACCGTATACAAATAGTCTATATTTTTATTATACATCCTCCCCCATAGTATCTTCTCTTATTCTATATAAAATCTAAACTCAAATCTAAAACTGTATAATATCTTCTTTTATTACTTTTGTTTATTAGTTTTTAGTTTTAATTTGTAATGGTCAAAATACTTATGGTGAAATAAGTTTTCTTATGATTATTTAAATTCTAGAACTGTATGTCGCTATTATAAAAAAATATGTTACTATTGTGGAACTAATATAGCGCTATGTTTATATTTTTATGAAATTAAAGTGTTACATATATATTTTTGTTATTTAATTATGTGAATCCGTGGTCCTAAACCAATTTTAAATAGATTGGTTCGGATTGGTTCTATAATTTAAATGGATTGGATTGGTTCTAATTTTTTAGAAACCGTAAATAACGGATTAATCCTAGTTTTATCCCAATCCGGTCCAATCCGGACCATACTCACCCCTAATTTATATAGTCCAATATTTTTTCTTGTGAACTATTTAGTCTTTTTGGATGTATAATGACTCATTTACCTACCACATTAGAGTGTCATATTTGAAAAAAAATACATTAATTTTTTTTTTTAGCGTCATATCATACCTGTCACATTGGAATGTCACATTTAGAAAAAGTACATAAAAAGTTTTTAATTTTTTAAAAATGTCACATTATACCCGTCACATTGGAGTGTTACATGTCACATTTAAAAAAACTATATTAAAAAGTTTTTATTTTTTTTTTAGTGTCACATCATACCTATCACGTTATCACATTTAAGAAAAGTACACTATGAGTTTTTATTTTTTTAAAATGTCACATCATACCCGTTATGTTGTTA